AGTTTTCAGTGCATAAACCTACAGGTTATCTCCTTGAGGAAACCTACTGGACAAATACTAAACTAGCAACATTTTCCATAACCTGTAGGTGGGACTGAAGTCTGCTCAGATAGTTCAGCGCTTCTGCTCTTCTCTATAACCTGTAGGCAACACAATATGGTCTGTAATTGGCATGTAGGTTTCTCATTCATGGGTGGAATAAATTGGGATACGGGGGAAGGAAATGGGTGGGGTATATGCAAATGTAATACCGCAGTATTACTATTGTTACAAAACTGTAGTGTTTTTGCAGACACTGTAGTGTTTTTGCAGATAATACTTTGTTATTTACTATAGTATTCTACAGTGTACTACACAATTCTATAGTAAGTAAGGTCAGATCCTCATATCCCAAGACACACTGAAGTTTTCACTTATCCCTCAACAACTGATTGAAGAACACCCTCCCTACCACCACCTTTGTTTCAGCCAGTAATGACTGATTCATGGTCAGCTCGTGTCAGACTTTTTCACTTATCCCACAACAACTGATACAGGATCAGCTCTCCATATCTCCTCTCTTACCTTAGCTATGAAGAGACCAGGACCAGTTAAAACATGTCTCTCTACCTGTTTAACCAGTTGTTTCAGGCATATTCAAAATAACCACATGGCTTCAAATCAAATAAAATGTTATTTGTTACATGCTTCGTTAACAACAGGTGTAGACTAACAGTGAAATGTTTACCTACCGGACTTTTCCAACAATGCAAAGTTAAAGATAAAGATAGAAAAATATAATAAAATAATGGGTCACAAGATCCAGGCATGCAGCCACTTGAGGTGAGAGATTTGTTTACACATGCCATCCTGACACACCCAGAAATGATTCCCCTCCTCTGGCTCTTAGGAGGGCCTGAAGAGAGAGACAAAACGCACAGCGAACAGGAAGGCTGTCTTCTTATTTCGGAATATTTATTAATATTTACTGCAATCAGAAATATTCAGATTCCATTCCGTCATACAGTATTTGCACAGTGACACTGATGGTGCTATGCTCTGGTCTTGATTTTGTTTGGGGTGTAAAGGAACATCAGATTCAGCCATCATTTCTGGTTGAGGAGTGTAACCAGCTGCTGAGTGAACAGATACTGTAATGTTACTATCATTTATTCTGTGCCAACTTCTGTGGCAGATGGTAATGCAGCTGTACTTTATACTGGAATCCTGAGTAACGCTTCTGACTTAACAATCCTCTGCCTGAGGGCTCTTGGTCTGGTATGGTTTTGTTAGTCTGTCAGATGTAGAGCTGTCAGTGCTACCCACAGCACTGAGATGTTGATGCATGTGTTGATGCTGCGTTCTAATGATTCCCTTCTGTGGACTGGGTTTATTATACCTAAGTCAAGTTACATTCAAATTACATAATATACACATGGTAGTGTGTTTCAACTGCAAAATACTTGGTCATTCAGAGATGTATGGAGACCTTATATAGACAGGTGTGTGCCTTTCCAAATCATGTCCAATCAATTGAGTTTACCACAGTTGGACTCCAGTCAAGTTGTAGAAACATCTCAAGAATGATCAATGGAAACAGGATGTACCTGAGCTCAATTTCGAGTCTTATTGCAAAGGGTCTGAATACTTATGTAAATAAGGTATTTCTGTTTTTTATTTTTAATACCTTTGCAAGCATTTCTAAAAACCTTTTTTCGCTTTGTCATTATGGGGTATTGTGTGTAGATTGATGAGGAAAAACATTTATTTAATCAATTTTGAATAAGGCTGTAACGTAACAAAAATGTGGAAAAAGTCAAGGGGTCTGAATACTTTCCAAATGCACTGTACATTACAAGAAAGTAGCAATTTCAGGCAGAAGTGGCTATTCTCACTTAAACATTTCCTCTTTTGCTTGGACATCAACTGTCTTAATGTCAAAACTGAGAAAGAGTATAGGCTTTACTACAATATAATGAATGTGAATGTATTCAGATTAGATTAGGTCATTCGCATACAGAGATAAGTAAGTATGCGAAGATAAACTACTGACCGATATTTCCATCTTTGGTTCTCTTTGAAATGCTATGGGTGACTATTTTGAATAGGAAATGGGACTGTAACCAAAATATTTGCATGGAGTCAAAAGTGATACTAGCTCTGAATGTACAAGCTAACGTCTGTATTCTCTCTCTTCTAATTCAGTTAAAAGGAATAACCCTTACATAACAGATCACGATGGCAGGTAATTATGAAAAATTATATTATGTTGGTCCCCCTTTTACGTAAAACTGTTTTCATGGGAGAAGTGCTTGTGTGTCCTAAGTGTATGCTTAGGCTATTGTGACCTCTTCTGGTTGTTTTTGATGTTGCAACAGCTGAAAGGAACATACTGTACCTTCACGGTCAACACGACAGTCATGGGAAAATAGTTTATATGAGTTTGTAGCTATACATTCTATTTTTGTTTATTATTCGATGAGGGCACATTCAAAGTGAAATGGATTTCTTAGCTACTTCTTAGCTACTACTTATCAGTGACTGATACATGTATTCCATTGAGAGATAGATTTGCACTGCTTGTGCTTGACTCTGATCCAATCCAGATGTAAAAATCTCAAAGACTACTAGAAGGTACATTTGGATTCCCTAGTGACTCAAACACTGCATTTCCTCATGTGGAATCATGTAGACTAACTCAGACCATTATGCATAAACATCCCAAATTGCTACCAAATGTGTGTGACTACAGTGAATTTGGATAATTTACCTCAGAATTCTAGCTAGGGGCCATCTTCTATGTGGTCACAAAGCATTGTGGTTGGTTATAGTTGCCAAGGTAACTCCATTGTATATAAGTCCAAGTAGCCAGAGTAGAGCATGGCATGCTAGCTCCAGTGCAGTGCAGTGAGGTTCTGTGTCAAGATGGGTTGCTCAGCCAGCTGCTCTGGACGAATTGTCCATTCTGAGGATGGTTTGTTACACTGCCAAATGTCTTTTAAATGGAACTTTGTTTACTCTTACTAAGCTGCAGGGTTAATCAGTAGCCTAATCATCTGAAGTTGTTTCTAGAACTACCAAGACTCACGTTGTTCTGTTGTCTCTGTTCCTTCTAGACAAAATCAAGGACGCCAAGATCATCTTTGTTGTGGGTGAGTGAAATACATTTTGCCAATAATTGTGTGAAACCCCACACAAAATCAAAATCAACACCATCTACAGTTGAAGTCAGAAGTTTACATACACTTAGGTTGGAGTCATTAAAACTTGTTTTTCAACCACTCCACACATTTCTTGTTAACAAACTATAGTTTTGGCAAGTCGGTTAGGACATCTACTTTGTGCATGACACAAGTAATTTTTCCAACAATTGTTTACAGACAGATTATTTCACTTATAATTCACTGTATCACAATTCCAGTGGGTCAGAAGTTTACATACACTAAGTTGACTGTGCCTTTTAAACAGCTTGGAAAATTCCAGAAAATTATGTCATGGCTTTGGAAGCTTCTAATAGGCAAATGGACATATTTTGAGTCAATTGGAGGTGTACCTGTGAACGTATTTCAAGTCCTACCTTCAAACTCAGTGCCTCTTTGCTTGACATCATGGGAAAATCTAAAGAAATCAGCCAAGACCTCAGAAAAACAATTGTAGACCTCCACAAGTCTGGTTCATCCTTGGGAGCAATTTCCAAATGCCTGAAGGTACCACGTTCATCTGTACAAACAATAGTACGCAAGTATAAACACCATGGGACCACGCAGCCATCATACCGCTCAGGAAGGAGACGCGTTCTGTCTCCTAGAGATTAACGTATTTTGGTGCGAAAAGTACAAATCAATCCCAGAACAACAGCAAAGGACATGAAGATGCTGGAAGAAACAGGTACAAAAGTATCTACATCCACAGTAAAACAAGTCTTATATTGACATAACCTGAAAGGCCGCTCAGCAAAGAAGAAGCCACTGCTCCAAAACCGCCATAAAAAAGCCAGACTACGTTTTGCAACTGCACATGGGGACAAAGATCGTACATTTTGGAGAAATGTCCTCTGGTCTGATGAAACAAAAATAGAACTGTTTGGCCATAATGACCATCGTTATGTTTGGAGGAAAAACGGGGTTGCTTGTAAGCCGAGAACACCATCCCAACCGTGAAGCACGGGGGTGGCAGCATCATGCTGTGGGGGTGCTTTGCTGCAGGAGGGACCGGTGTACTTCACAAAATAGATGGCATAATGATGAAGGAAAATTATGTGGATATATTGAAGCAACATCTCAAGACATCAGTCAGGAAGTTAAAGCTTGGTGGCAAATGGGTCTTCCAAATGGACAATGACCCCAAGCATACTTCCAAAGTTGTGGCAAAATGGCTTAAGGACAACAAAGCCAAGGTATTGGAGTGGCCATCACAAAGCCCTGACCTCATTCCTATAGAAAATTTGTGGGCAGAAATGAAAAAACGTGTGCGAGCAAGGAGGCCAGCTAACCTGACTCATTTACACCAGCTCTGTCAGGAGGAATGGGCCAGAATTCACCCAACTTATTGTGGGAAGCTTGTGGAAGGCTACCCGAAACGTTTGTCCCAAGTGAAACAATTTAAAGGCAATGCTACCAAATACTAATTGAGTGTAAGTAAACTTCTGACCCACTGGGAATGTGATGAAAGAAATAAAATCTTAAATAAATCATTCTCTCTACTATTATTCTGACATTTCACATTCTTAAAATAAAGTGGTGATCCTAACTGACCGAAGACAGGGAGTTTTTACTCGGATAAAATGTCAGGAATTGTGAAAAACTGAGTTTAAATGTATTTGGCTAAGGTGTATGTAAACTTCCGACTTCAACTGTAAATGCCTGATATTAGATGTGAAGACAACACTTATTTTGAAAGAATGCCCAAAAGTATACAGTAAATATATACAACAACCCTGTGTCATACACTTCCAACCACCACTAAGGTTATGGCTAGATAGAATTCACCAACCGACCAACCACCACTAAGGTTATGGCTAGATGGGATTCACCTGTCCTTTTTGTATGTGTCTCCAAGGCGGGCCTGGCTCTGGCAAGGGCACCCAGTGTGAGAAGGTGGTGGCCAAGTATGGCTACACCCACCTGTCCTCCGGGGACCTGCTGCGTGCTGAGGTGGCATCCGGCTCAGAGAGGGGCAAGACCCTCCAGGCCATCATGCAGAAAGGAGAGCTCGTACCCCTGGTGAGTGGCTGCATGGGACAGCTTTTACAGTCATATCCAGAAAGCAGTTACTATGTAACAGCACGTCAATTAAATGTTGTTCTTACAGCAATTATAGTCTAACTACACAGATTTATGGTATAAGGTATAACCATTTGTGCTGAATTCCTTGCAATAAGTACCAATAAATCAGGTAAATACCAATTGTAATAGGGGTGTTATTGTGTTCATAAGTTACTTTGTCATTTTTCAACACAGAAGTAAAACTGTTCAAACATATTTCTATGAGGGTGAGTGTGTTTCATGTCAATAAATAGTACATGTGCTTCCCTCCTATAGGACACAGTCTTGGACATGATCAAGGATGCCATGATCGCTAAGGCTGACGTGTCCAAGGGCTTCCTCATTGATGGCTACCCCCGTGAGGTCAAACAGGGTGAGGAGTTCGAGAAGAAGGTAAGAGGAGACAGGAACATGGATTCACATTTAGAAAATCCTTACTGTTCCCAGGCAGAGGCCAGTCTGATGCCACCCCTCCCCCGTGCCTTCTCAAAAATGTGTTATGGGATTTATAGTAAAGACATGTAATTTAACTGTAAAAATGTATTACCTTTTAATGTGCCATGAACACAACTAGTCATGATGTTTTCATCTGATTGTCAAACAAATCACTTAAAAAAAATAGGTTACATTAGTACGTTCATCCAAAATAATTCCAGCATGCGAACAGTGCACTGTGCACCTGCCAACTGTCCTTCAATTCACAAGTGGCTCACCGGAGAAGGCATTCGAGCGAGTGAAACAGTGCCCCTCTGTCTTACTATATGTAGCCCATGTATCTGATGTTGTCTGGCCAAAAAGAGTATGACATGCCATATTATTTTGGGCCAGAGAGCATGAGATACATGAGCTACACATACATGTCCTCTGCATCGACGACGATGGCAGTATTATCAGCAGCCCCTGTCTTTTTACCAAAGAAATGCATATTGTATCTCCCTAAGCTAACATATGGAATTGTTTTAAGATGGTCATACCAAGGATAATTTAGCTATTTGATTTTGAATTTTGAGACCCCTGTAGGTATAACTTTTTTTCATTACAAAATGATTTGATGAAATATCGAATTTGGCTTTACTGCTATTAGCCGATAAAAAACGCATTTAGTAACAAATTCATAAATGGAAAAACAGCCAAAAAGCAATCAAAAGGAAGTATGTTTTGAAGTGTCTGTCCTATATCTGAGAGAAATAAGCTAAAAAAAGAAGAAGAATTTATAATAGAATTACCCGTATACATTTGACGTGGAAATGCCGTATAAAATTCACTCCCACAACATTTTCAGCCCATTACCGGGTTACCTTCAAATGAGTCTTGTGGAACTTCAGAGAGCAAAACAGAGAACAGATGTTAGAGATGTTTTCATGAGAAGATCGATTTTCGGGATGTCTCCTCGTCTGACAAACACCACAGATGTTGAAGGCAAACATTGGCAGATGCGGTGGATGAGACGCAGCCCATACAAAACAGATATCTCTAGCTTAAACAGACGGATTATGATGGGGATTTTTAAAATTATTTATTTATTATGCTTCAAGCATTTAAATGTATTTTTTTATACCCATCTCATGAGGCCCCTTGATGACGTGAGGCCTGAGGCAAATTGCCTCGTCTGCCTAATGGTGTCTGCCAGTGACTGTTTCATCGATGGGCAATTTGGTTGCAGCACCATGAAAACACTTACATGGGTGATTCTACAGAAGTGGTGTACATTTCTGTCCCACCCCAAAATAACTATTTTAAAGAACAGTTATATACATCATGATATGTTTTAATTCAATCCAAGTCCATAACAAACATGTTTTAATTAATATAGTACAAAGTCATTGTTTATACACCTACAGTGGGGAAAAACGTATTTAGTCAGCCACCAATTGTGCAAGTTCTCCCACTTAAAAAGATGAGAGAGGCCTGTAATTTTCATCATAGGTACATGTCAACTATGACCGACAAATTGAGAATTTTTTTCTCCAGAAAATCACATTGTAGGATTTTTTATGAATTTATTTGCAAATTATGGTGGAAAATAAGTATTTGGTCACCTACAAACAAGCAAGATTTCTGGCTCTCACAGACCTGTAACTTCTTTCTTTAAGAGGCTCCTCTGTCCTCCACTCGTTACCTGTATTAATGGCACCTGTTTGAACTTGTTATCAGTATAAAAGACACCTGTCCACAACCTCAAACAGTCACACTCCAAACTCCACTATGGCCAAGACCAAAGAGCTGTCAAAGGACACCTGAATCAAAATTGTAGACCTGCACCAGGCTGGGAAGACTGAATCTGCAATAGGTAAGCAGCTTGGTTTGAATAAATCAACTGTGGGAGCAATTATTAGGAAATGGAAGACATACAAGACCACTGATAATCTCCCTCGATCTGGGGCTCCACGCAAAATCTCACCCCGTGGGGTCAAAATGATCACAAGAACGGTGAGCAAAAATCCCAGATCCACACGGGGGGACCTAGTGAATTACCTGCAGAGAGCTGGGACCAAAGTAACAAAGCCTACCATCAGTAACACACTACGCCACCAGGGACTCAAATCCTGCAGTGCCAGACGTGTCCCCCTGCTTAAGCCAGTACATGTCCAGGCCCGTCTGAAGTTTGCTAGAGTGCATTTGGATGATCCAGAAGACGATTGGGAGAATGTCATATGGTCAGATGAAACCAAAATAGAACTTTTTGGTAAAAACTCAACTCGTCGTGTTTGGAGGACAAAGAATGCTGAGTTGCATCCAAAGAACACCATACCTACTGTGAAGCATGGGGGTGGAAACATCATGCTTTGGGGCTGTTTTTCTGCAAAGGGACCAGGACGACTGATCCGTGTAAAGGAAAGAATGAATGGGGCCATGTATCGTGAGATTTTGAGTGAAAACCTCCTTACATCAGCAAGGGCATTGAAACGTGGCTGGGTCTTTCAGCATGACAATGATCCCAAACATACCGCTCGGGCAACGAAGGAGTGGCTTCGTAAGAAGCATTTCAAGGTCCTGGAGTGGCCTAGCCAGTCTCCAGATCTCAACCCCATAGAACATCTTTGGAGGGAGTTGAAAGTCTGTGTTGCCCAGCGACAGCCCCAAAACATCACTGCTCTAGAGGAGATCTGCATGGAGGAATGGGCCAAAATAACAGCAACAGTGTGTGAAAACCTTGTGAAGACTTACAGAAAACGTTTGACCTGTGTCATTGCCAACAAAGGGTATATAACAAAGTATTGAGAAACGTTTGTTATTGACCAAATACGTATTTTCCACCATAATTTGCAAATAAATTCATTAAAAATCCTACAATGTGATTTTCTGAATCTTTTTCTCTCATTTTGTCTGTCATAGTTGACGTGTACCTATGATGAAAATTACAGGCCTCTCTCATCTTTTTAAGTGGGAGAACTTGCACAATTGGTGGCTGACTAAATACTTTTTTCCCCCACTGTATTTCTATTGAGAGGTGGCTGTCCCAAACCCTGATTCCTAAACTTCATGTTTGAAAATAAAGCAATTCATGATTTTTGTATATTTTTGTACACTTATTTAAATAGAACATCTTGAGTTGTTCTATTACTACATTGAAAGATACTGATCTAATTATTAGTTTTGTTTATTTTTAAATATCTTTCTCTGAAAAATGCTGTCCCCACTTTTGATGTCACTACATCCATTAAGACCTAAACCTGGAGTTGTACATAAAGGGTGTGACCATTGAAAAAGTTAAACTGCTAGGTATAACATTGGATGGTCAGTTATCATGGTCAAGTCATATTGACAAAGTTGTTGTGAAGATGGGGAAGGGTATGTCTGTCATAAAAAGCTGTTCTGCGTTTTTGACACAAACATCAACTGTACTATTTGTTAAGGCTCTGGTCTTGTCCCATCTTGATTACTGTCCGGTAATATGGTCAAGTGCAGCAAAGAAAGACCTAGCAAAGCTGCAGCTGGCTCAAAACAGAGCAGCACGCCTTGACCTTAATTGCACATACAGAACTAACATCAACAATATGTATGCCAGTCTTTCCTGGTTGAGGGTTGACGAGAGATTAACTTCTTCTCTTGTAGTTTTTATGAGAAATATTACTGTGATGAAAATTCCAGATTGTCTGCAGAATCAAATAACATTCAGCTCAGACACCCATACATACCCCACAAGACATGCCAACGGGGGTCTCTTCACAGTCCCCAAGTCCAAAACGAATTCACGGCAACGCACAGTTTTATATAGAGCCATGATCGCATGGAACTCCCTTCCCTAAAAAACTGATTAAAAGACATCTCATGGAACGGCGGGGACTGTAAGGGGACACACACAGAAACACACCCACACACAGACACACTCTAACACATACATACTTTTTTAGTTGTATTGTTTGTGTAATTTTTTGTTGCATTGTTTGCATTTTGTTGTATTTTATATTTGTGTGACTCTCCTTGTCTGTCAGTGTATGTGTTTTGTAACTTGTCATGTTTTGTGCTTTTTTTGTGGACCCCAGGAAGAGTAGCTGCTGCTTCTGCAAAAGCTAATGGGGATCCAAATAAACAAACTACCGAATCACACACTTTAAAAGACTGTAGAATGAATGTGCCTTAAGCCATACCCCTACAAATATCACCAGGTGATGGGATTGCACCCCTCTCCACTATGGCCACATGGTGAGTAGTCTGTCTGCAAACATTTTGGAGAAAAAATGAGTGAGCAAGTTGGTAAATCTTAATGTATTTTTAAGAAGTGTTACTACCGAACATCCAATACATCAAGAAATATGTAAACTTATGGTTTTGGGACTAAAATATATGTTTGCTGGGATGTCCACATGAAAGATAGCCAGCCATATGTAAACAAAGCCGATTTTTTAAAAGTCCAAAATGAGTCACAATTGTCCAAACCGAAACGGTCACAACCAAAACAATAGAGATAAATAGAGGTCTCATCTTTGTATCTGTGCCATTATGGAGTCTGTGACTGCACCGGCAGGGCCATTGAGACTATCTCCAATCTAAAGTTGCATGTGCCATGCTCTACCAACTGAGCTACAGAGGACCACCATGTGGGTAGTGGACAAGTGCACACTTCAGGAAAAAGTGTAGAATATTGAAATGTATAGCCAGCAGGGGGGGGGGGGGGGGGGGGGGGGCTCCAATCCAATCCAATCCTATTTGGCCAAAACATAGACGTCTATAATGTGCTATACTGTACTGAACTGTACTCTACTGTGCTCTATTATACTGTACTGTAACCTACTCTACTATACTGTACCCTACTGTACTGTACTCTACTCAAGTTTACTCTACTTGAGTTTCTAACAATTGAAGAAAGGGCCTTGGACTCTTGATCTAGTGGTCTTGGTCTTGAGACCACTCAAGACCACATACATTAATTAGATCTTTAACTTGTCATGGTCTCAACTCACTGGGTCTGGGTCTTGGGACCAATGTCATAGCATAAATCTTGGTCTTGGCTCCTGGATATTACCTTAGTCTTTGATTTACAAACCATAGGCAACCCAATTTGAAAAAATACAATGCTCTCTGATCATTGGCTGATCACTCTCAAACCATAGGAATCCCCACTCAGTTGACTACTTTTAAATGGTGGAAGCCCTCAAGGGTAATGTCTATACCAAAACAAGTTACTTCCATCTAGAGTCCTCTACCTCTATGACTAATACTTGACACAGAAACGCCTGGTATTTTACCAAAATAAAGACATTTTACAGAGAACAATAGAGATGATATTTCTCTAAATAAAATGTAAAGGTTTTGAAAATCAGGCTAAATATCATGTTTTTACTATTTTGTTAATTTAGTATGCAAATACAATTTCGAAAATGAATCTGTAATTGAAGGTTAATCAAAAATTATCACTACTATGCATGGTTCTCCCTTTATAGAAACTTTTCCCACTATGTTTCAGTAGTGACAAATTTAGTGAGGTGGTAAGGAATTCAGGTAAATATTTCAGATATGCAATACAAACAAAGTGTGTGAATAGTATATATGTCTACCTGACATGTGTGCTGGAAGTTTGGGAGAAACAGGATACAAATGTGATTTTTTCCCAACCCCCAATTTACACCAGTTCTGTAGAACAACCCATATATGCACTTATGAGGTGTCCTGTCCTTTCAAAAATCACCAATAGCTCAATATCCCTCAATTTCCCATAGTGTTTCTCTCAATAAATATTTTTCTTTGGCCCATCACCTCCCACTTAAGAGGACTATATAATTTCAAAAACCTTCTAACAGTTGTCCTCACCATTATGTTTGTCTTCTCACAGATAGGAGCCCCCTGCCTGCTGCTGTACATTGATGCCAAGGGTGAGACCATGGTCAAGAGGCTGATGAAGCGTGGTGAGACCAGTGGCCGAGCTGACGACAATGAGGAGACCATTAAGAAGCGCCTGGACCTGTACTACAAAGCCACCGAGCCAGTCATCGCCTTCTACTCCAGCCGCGGCATCGTCAGGAAGGTGAGACTGGAACTACAAGCTATAGGCTATTGTAATGAGATAAAAGATAGAGGAAGTTTGTCATGTATGAGAGTATGTCATAGCACAGTGGAATAAAAACATTTCTGTTTTATTTTTATTTTTAAATGGCACGTAAAAAATGACACATTGTGACAATACACTCAAGTGTCTCATCTCACATCTCTCTGAAATCTATAACACTCTCTCACTCAGAAAATTCTCTTCACTTTACAACGGTGACGCCACCCTCATTGCAATCTCATTTCATGCCTCTCTTTCTCTCATTCTCCTCAGATTGACTCCGAACTGCCTGTGGATGAAGTCTTCGGACACGTTGCCAAAGCTATCGATGGCCTGAAGTAAAAAGCAAACATGCCTGGATATAAACGTTGTTTTTGATTCTTTTTTTCTAAATGTCTGTCTTATGCCGAAAAAAGCAACAATCTGCTGAGCCACCTTGGTTATAATGAAAGGCCATTAAAGAACAGTGATGCCTTAATTCAACACTGTACTCCTCCTCCAGCAATAATCTCTTGTTACAGTTCACCAACCACAACAGACACCCATATACAGCCACATTTACAAGAATGTCATAACTTCCTGAGAGTCTACTGTTCACTTCCTGTTTGTCTGCCATGTCTTGTCCACACTTCCTGTACAGAATGTCTACGTGTGTATGTGTGTGTGTGTGTGTGTCTGTATGTGTGTGTGTGTCTGTGTGTGGTTTTCTAAAAACCATACATGTTCCTCTGTCTCATTAAAACATCACCTTCAAACCCTGACCAAACAACTGCATATGAATTTAATATCTAACAGAAGAGACCTTCTCAATGGGATAAATAATAGGTTGATGCAATCTCACAGAATAGCACACACACACACAATGCACACACCCTTACGGTTGGTGCTGATCTCAGCTCTATGTAATTACAAGAGGGAGCTGTCAACACTTCGCCTGACCTTACATGTACAATGCCTTCCTGGGGTGGGCTCGGCTGCACTCTCTATGCTCATGTGCCGCCATATAGGCACTGGAGTATATGGGAAAGCATGGAGACTAGACTCCTTTATGCCTGGTGCTAAATGCCATGCAGTGACAGACATGGCAGCAGCAGCAGGCCATATCCATCATTCAGACATTCAGGATATAGTATAGTTCTCCCACAGCAGGAATAAAGTACAATAGTAACCAACAGTTGTAAAAGAAAATAGAGTATGTTCATAGTTATTCCACTGTCTAACACCTCATGATATGTCTCATTTCATCACATAACAGATCTGCTGTATCTTGAGGGAATCATATTTGAGTCAGAAAAGGATATTCATATGATAGGTAAGATATACAAAACCTTGCAGAGAGCACATCCAACTGACAATATTTAGAAAAATATATAAACTATTGGAACCAAGACTTAAAAAGAACTGATATCGGCACGAGCTGGAGGGAATGTTGGAACTTAACTAACACATTTACAGTGAATAAAATTGTACGCTTAATCCAGTATAAACTAATGTACGGAATATATTATACAAGAGACAAAATTCACAAATTCTACAGCACAACGGCAGAGGCATGTCTTAAGTGTAAAACTAACAATGATTCAATAATCCATGCATTCTGGGAACGATATAAAGTCCAAAAGTTATGGGCGGAGTTAGAAAGTTAGCTGTCAGAAGCATTACACTCTAAAAAGAAAAGGTTCCTGGAAGATCTTTTAGGGGTTCTTCAAATTGAAACTGTGGGGGAACCTCTATAAGTTATTAGAATAACCCTTTAAAAGGGTTCTTCAAAGATCCCCCCCTTTAATGGTTCCTCGAATAACCTTCTGGGGTTCATTCTTTACCCCCCCATTATTATTATTATTATTATTATTATTAATCAGCATAACAATAACAAGAATAACACAATATTTTAGTTGTCAATGTTTATTATGATTTTAGTGGCAAAGCAGAATTCAAAAATCTAAATATAAGGTAAACTCCTAGCAGAGCTCCAAGTTCAATCAGTATATCCTCTGGTGTGTTAATGTGTTGAAATCCTTCGTACCCATAGCCAGAATGATTTTGCAGTGCATGGTGATCGAACAGGTTTCCAGTTATATTCATCTGTGGTGTACACTCTAAAAAGAAAAGGTTCTTGGAGTATCCTTTAGGGGTTCTTCAAATTGAAACTGTGGGGGAACCCCTATAAGTTATTTGAAGAACCCTTTAAAAGGGTTTTTCAAAGAACCCCTTTTAATGGATCCTGGAAGAACCTTTTGAAGAACCTTTTGGGGTTCATTTTTGAACTACCTCCCCCCTATTAATAATAATAACAATAATAATAATAATATACGTAACAATAACAACAATAACACAATATTTTAGTTCTCACTGTTTATTATGATTTTAGTGGCAAAGCAGAATAAAAAAATAAAAATATGAGGTAAACTCCCAGCAGAGCCCCAAGTCCAATGTGTATATCCTCTGGCGTGTTGATGTTAATGTATTGATATTCTCCGTATCCATAGCCAGAATTATTTTGCAGTGCCTGGTGATCGAACAGGTTTCCTGTTATATTCATCAGAGGTGTAGGGAGGGTGAAGTCTGTGAATCCCCAAAATAGTAATTACACAGATGATTAACAAAACATGCACATGACAGAATTCATTCCTTGGTTTTTGTGGAGAATGTGAATGAAAAAAATTGTTTTGATAATGGTTTTCATAAACATACCTTGTCCATAATGTAGAGGCCTATGGGATATTCATTGAAGAGGTAAGGGAGGAGGACGGTAAATGTGATCAGCATAACATACCAATACCAATTGACATACCTTTGTATGCCTCCTCGTCTGTATACCTGCAGACAAAGACACAAAAGTGAGGAGTTCAGACATCTGCACCCAATACAGCTAGCCTTCAACATATTCTTATAGCCTACATAGTCTTACCTCTTTGTTGATTGATATCCATTGAATTGTGTCCATGTTCTGTTTTAGAAAGATTGGACAAAAATGAAAAGATAGATAGTATCATCATAAAACTATATACATTTAGATCATATAAGGGACAAACCTTACCTTAAATTGAGGAGATCTTGAAATGTTTCAGTTAAGTGCCTGCACCTTCTGTCCTTTCAAATTGAAATGTTTCAGTTGGGCAGTTAGGATCCTGCAAGAACACCCACCAACTAAGGAGGTTCCTCGATGAACCCAACCTCCTATGGGGTTCTTTGAAGAACCTTTTGGGGGCAATTTTCAGTGCCAAGAACCCTAAGGTTCTTCGAAGAACTTTGAGGATCTAAGAAGAACCCTTGTTGAACCCTTAATTTCTAGAGTGTAGGGAGGGTGAAGTCTGTGAATACAAAAATAATATTAACAAAACGTCCACACGACAGTATTCATACATTGTTTTTTGTGGTAAATGTGAATGAAAAAACTGTTCACTTTTGACAACGGTTTTCATACACATACCTTGTCCATAATGTAGAGACCTCTGGGATCTTCATTGAAGAGGTCAGGGAGGAGGAAGATGGCTGCTGTGACTGAGTCCTATAAGGTTTTAGAGAAACCATTAATAAAATTAGATGATAGCATACAATTGTACACAGTGGTGGAAAAAGTACCCAATTGTCATACTTGAGTAAAGGTATAGATACCTTAATAGAAAGTTACTCAAGTAAAAGTGAAAGTCAGCCAGTAAAATACTACTTGAGTTAAAGTCTAAAAGTATTTGGTTTTAAATATACTTAAGTATCAAAAGTAAATGTAATTGCTAAAATATACTTAAGTATCAAAAGTAGACGTATAAATCATTTAAAATTCCTTATATTAAGCAAAGCAGAGGGCACCATTTTCTTGTTTTTAAATTTTTCGGATAGCCCGGGTCACACTCCAAGACTCAGACATTATTTACAAAAGATGCATTTGTGTTTAGTGAGTCTGCCAGACCAGAGGCAATAGGGATGACCATGTTTTCTCTTGATAAGTGCGTGAATTTGGCTATTTTCCTGTCCTGCTAAGCATTCAAAATGTAACGAGTACTTTTGGTTGTCAGGGAAAATGTATGGATTAAAAGTAAAAGTAGTCAAAAATATAAATTGTAAAGTAAAGTACAGATACCCTGAAAAGCTACTTAAGCAGTAGTTTAAAATATTTTTACTGAAGTACTTTACACCACTGATTGTACATACCTTTGTGTGCCTCCTCGTCAGTATACCTGCAGACACGGAAACACACAAATAAGTGGGCAGTTCAGTCATCTGCGCCCAATAAAGCTATAGCCTTCAACATATTCTTCTTACCTCTTTGTTGACTGACATTCATTGAATTGTGTACATTTTCTGTTTTAGAAAGAATTTTAAAAGGGAGAAAGTTCCAAACTACACAGCCATTTGCACAAATATGAAAAAATTGATGATATCATCATAAAACAATATCAATTGAGATCATACATACCTTACCTTAAATTAAGGAGATCTTAAAAATGTTCAGTTAAGTGCCTGCACTTGCTTTTTTTTTCAATTTTCAAAGTTAGGTTCCTGCAAGAACCCCCAAGAACTAAGGAGATTCCTCGATAAACCCCACCTCCTATGGGGTTCTTGGAAGTTCAGTGCCTTGCAAAAGTATTCATCCCCCTTGGCGTTTTTCCTATTTTGTTGCACTACAACCTGTAATTTAAATTGATTTTTATTTGCATTTCTTGTAATGGACATACACAAAATAGTCAAAATTGGTGAAGTGTAATGAAAAAAATAACTTGTTTACAAAAAATTCTAAAAAATAAATAACGGAAAAGTGGTGCGTGCATATGTATTCACCCCCTTTGCTATGAAGCCCCTAAATAAGATCTGGTGCAACCAATTACCTTCAGAAGTCACATAATTAGTTAGATTGCACACATGTGGACTTTATTTAAATGTCACATGATCTGTCACATGATCTCAGTAAATATACACCTGTTCTGAAAGGCCCCAGAGTCTGCAACACCACTAAACAAGGGGCACCACCAAGCAAGCGCCACCATGAAGACCAAGGAGCTCTCCAAACAGGTCAGGGACAAAGTTGTGGAGAAGTACAGATCAGGGTCGGGTTATAAAAAAATATCAGAAACTTTTAACATCCCACGGAGCACCATTAAATCCATTATTAAAAAATGGAAAGAATATGGCACCACAACAAACCTGCCAAGAGAGGGCCGCCCACCAAAACTCACGGACCAGGCAAGGAGGGCATTAATCAGAGAGGCAAAAAAGAGACCAAAGATAACCCTGAAGGAGCTGCAAAGCTCCACAGCGGAGAATGGAGTATCTGTCCATAGGACCACTTTAAGCAGTACACTCCACAGAGCTGGGCTTTATGGAAGAGTGGCCAGAAAAAAGTC